TTGAAGCTTCTAAATAGGTAAAAAATCAATAGTATAAATTTGATCCAAAAACCTAAACACTTGTTTTAGTTTATATTGTTGTTGGGTCAAATAAAAAGCATTGTAATTCATACAACACTATGATACAATGACGAGCACTAGGATGGACATTTATGAGATTTTTTATATAAATTTTCTTGATATTTATGTGATTATTTCAACATCCGAACATTTTGTCTTTTTTTTTCTAATTTCTTAATTTTTTTTTAAATTTTTATCTAAATATAATACGCTCATGTAATAATTTTTTATATTTGAACTTCTAAATAGGTGAACAATCTACAGTAAAATTTTGGTTTAGAAAACAATTTTTTGTGACTTAGTGTAACTGATACAATGATGAGCCAAAATCATGTCAAGTTTTAATGAAACCAAGATAGACATTTATGACATCTTTTCTATTTTAGCGATTTTTTTTGATTTTTTTTAGTTTTTCAGCATCTAATCAATCTTTTTTTTTTTTTTTTCTTATCTTTTTAATTATACCAAAATATGATGCATTTTTGTAATGTTATTTGATAACATATTATGACATATTACACTATCAGAATTTACAGAAACTTTTATCCTAAAATCAATTTTGTATTCATACGTTACAATTCTATAAAAGTCATTGATTCATAATTACTTTGGACAACCAAAAATATAATCTAATTGTCATTGCCCATAACTATTGTGTTGCTAGTGGAAATTTACATGATCAATATTTATGTCTAAATTATTGACACCTTGAATATTTCTTTTTTCTTGTCACTATGTATTGATTTAATTCTTTTTTTTTTCTTCTACCAATCAGTACAATGCTTCTATGAGATAATAAGATACGGCCATCTTCTTATCATGTCTAATAATATTTACTTCTCGTATAAAATATTTTATTAGATCTTCTTATAAGAGTCGATTGTATAATATTCTTTACAATATAAATATAAATTAACATGCTTATACCTAATAGCGGTTGGTTATCGCATGATGAGTATGAAAATCTCAAAATATCAAAATACTAATATGTACAACTTCTTTTCTTCAAATCTATTATTATTATCTTTTAAGATGTCTACACTTATTTACAACTTGTATGAGTCTATGGAAAAATACTATAGTATCGACCATTAATACTTGTCAAAGTTGATTTTAAACTATTAATTATTTCACAATAGATGTAGAACCTTCACCTTATCATTTCAATCATAATTTTAATAGGTAAGCTACAAACATCATTAGCAATGAATTTATACTTTTGGATTCATTTATCGTGAGCATTATAAATCGACGGTAAAAATAAATGCAATAGCCTATTTCTCATTCTTAATTTATGATATTCATATAAAATTTTCTCTATATTTTTTTCTCAGTTTTTTCATGTATTCATTAAACTCGTATATTGTAGAGCCTTTAGCAGTATCCTAAAATAGTTTTATAGCATTTTTGTTTCACATATCGATCATAAGATTTTTATGAATCATGTAATAGTTATGATGTTCTCTTAGCAAGATCTCCTTTACAACTAAAAGAATTCTTAGATTTTAATAATTGATAATCGTCAAATTTTATATTTGACAATCATATATTCTTAAATATTATAAAAACCACTCTAATGAACTCTACACTTAGTCTTCATCATAAAAAATACAATTGAAAATAATTTATCACAACCATCAATTGTTGTAGCCATCATCAAAGCACTGAAATATTTGTTCAATAGATGTGCAGCATTAATACCAAAAATAGTTTGCATATATAATAAAAAAACTTGTTAGGTAAAGCTCCGAATGTTAGATTATGTGACTAATTAGATAAAATATGTTATGAATATAATTATATTTTGATTATAATTATTGATTAATAGAAAGGAAGTTAGGATTTCTTATGAGATGATTTTGATAAAAGAGATTCTATTAATTACTTATTTAGATCCTTTGTTCTTACTTATAAATACACAAAGATATTTAAGGGATCATATACATAATAATTGAATGTGTGAATATATAGATACGATAAAACGATGATATTATAAATATTCTCTCGTATCCCTTTAATCACATGAACTAATCAATGAGATATTATAAATCTTCTCTCATTTCTCCATCGATCAAAGTGGTCCTATAAAGGATTAGAAGACAGAAGAATATGAGTCTAATTCTCATTATAGATCAATATGACTATAGATCTTAAATTCGACTATGGTATACTTATAGATCAAATAAAGTATTTCTAAGTAAACATTGAAAGGTATGTGTCTTAATATTTAAAGATCTATTGTTATTTTGATTTCAGATTTTGACACTAAGATTTGTTATATAATGTGAGATTTTTATGTTTACACCAAAAGCTTAAAATATTTTTAGAATTTATTTTTTTTGATGTCATTATCATTTGAATATGTGTCCGTAGCCATGCACTCTTAACTCCCTTCAAAATGAAATTATACTAGTCAAAGTCATCACAAACCTATAATGTGTAATCTCCTAAGATAAGCCTTCTTATATGATACAATAACTTTAAATTTTTTTTTGAATATCTATAATTATTTTGAGAGTATAATCAATATTTATCATAACTTGATTTTTAATTTGATTTGTAATGAAAAAACTATTGCATTCCTTATGATCCCTATTTAATCTTGGCAAATTATATTCTTGCTTTTTTGAAATTTGATAATTTGAAACCTTCGATTCCACCACGACCTATTATCATTCATTAGCAATTGGAAACTATATATTTTACTTTTATCTTATAATTTATAGTCGCATTTGATCTCAAAATTTCTTCTAATTACATAGTATTATTTTGAGGTTTTTACAAATTCATCCCTATCTCTAAACATCAAAAATATCTAACAAAATAACTTCAATGTAATTCAAATACCATACTTGACTAATAAAAATATCAATATAGAAATGATTATCATCTTTAGTGTAAACATTTGTTCAATATTATTATATATGTTTTCACTTAAAATAACTTATGATTATCTAATGTGATAGGGTCTATTTTGGGTCCAAGACACGTCACACCCGGTGTCACACGCCAAGTCAGAATCCGTACCAAGTCGTTGCTTGGAACGTCTCGGGAATCCTGAGACGGCATGACCCCCAAGATATGACAAGTCAGAATCCGTACCAAGACACTGTTTGGCACGTCCACCATGTCAACCCGCATACGACCGACCCTCGGACAATAGTATAAAGACCTTTGGCTGGTATCCGACCCAGGGGGAAAAGAAGGGGAACAATTCCACAGACAATTGATTTGCTCATCGGAGGGGCCACAGTCAGGAATCACCCAACGAAGATCTTTTTTGCAGGTAGGCGGTCGCCCTGAGCCACGAGCGTCTCGACCAAAGAATCACCATCCTGTGAGGGAGGTCGAGCTATCACTTATCTCGGGAACGGAGAGACGCAGCTTGACGCTGACGGCGCTCGGACCAATAGACACTGACCAACACCTCGTCGCGAAGGTCCGACCTACCTGGGCGTCCAACTCAGCCAACAGAGAACTCCCTACATCGACCCGTGGACCTAGTCGTGCTGACCCATTAGCCACAGCATCTTTGTTCACTAACATAATGCATCATAAATATTATTATTAATGTCACATTTAGCCTATGGTATTATTATTTCTTTAGTCAATTTATTTTTGAAAACATTATTACTATCATAATCTTCATTACAATAAAATATATCATTTAAGTTTATGGTGTTAATTTTGACCCAAACATATTATCTCATCTAATGTCTAAGTATTAATATAATCAAGAACTAAAAATACTTCATCAAGAAGTGGATCATATCGCTACAATGAGATCATTAGAAAACAAACATATACCTTAACAATCCATGAACCGATATATAAAATGGGTTATAACAACTTCCAGAGAGGAAGAAAATCAAAAATATAAATACCAGTCCATTCATCAAATAAAATAATTAAATGTAAAGATCATCTTTTTCTTTCTCCTCATATTCTTATTTTTTGAACAATATGGAGGGAGCATAGGCTGGATGATGATATTGAGTAACATTGATATAACCTCAACTATAACTATAATAAGTCTTGAGGGACCATTATACGAGCGATGATAACGTCCATAGCTAATAAAAAGAAAGGAGATGATTAAATAGAAAATGGTGATAACAACGAGGATTAAATAAGAAATCGTGAGGATTGAGAAAAAATAAAAATAATAAAATAATATTTTATTATTTTTTAAAAGGATTATAGGATTGTCAATAGTAAAAAAAAAACTCTAAATAGTACATTTTAATAAAAATAATATGAACGAAACAGGCAACGTTCTTTCCTCGAGCTACGTCTTCGATCCACGTGTCCATCACCTTTCGTCAGACGAATTCGCATCTGTTCTATTCCCCTGTGCGTGCGATGCCTCGCGGATAACTCTACTTTTCGGTGATATTGTTCCGTAGAATCCAATCGAAATCCAGGAAACGTTAGATTAATCTGATCCGCGAATGCTTTCAATGAATTAGGAAAAGAGACCGTAGGATAACGAGCGGGAATAATATAAGAATATCATATATACCTAAAATTTCATAAAAGGCTACATAATCATTATAAATATTATTTCATTCCAATTTATCGGAAGATGATAAATGAATTATATATATATATATATACATGTATAGTATATGAGACATGAGACAATAAAGCCTTTTATCATGTCTCTTGGTTTCCACGAATCCGCATCTGTTCCATTATTCTGTCCGTTGCGATGCCTCGCGGATGACTATATCTTTGCCCGGTGGCAGGCATCTGAAATTGTTTTGCGGCCCCATAGGAAGCCAGGAAACGTTAGATTAATATGATCCGCGGGTACGTGCAACGGGAGACATCGGCATGTCTCCCCGTGGCCGCCGCTACTCATAAATCCCACGACGGGGAAGAAAAGTCCCACCACTCATTTTTAAGAGCTCTCGGCGAGGGAGCCCCGAGTAGAGAGGAAGAGGGCAAGGCAACGTCGCCGATCTCTACGATCGAAGCAGCGGAATGTGGAACCTCGCTCGAGCGGCATGGAATCTGCGGCAGGCGCGGCGGTTGTCGATGTCGATCCCAGGGCCTTGCATCGTCCACAAGCGCGGCACCGACATCCTCCACGACCCTTGGTTCAATAAGGTCCGGTGCTTGTTGGTGATTTCTTGATGCTTTCGAGGTGACCTCTCGCGGGATTCCAGTGGGTTCCACGGACTTCGATCTGTTTCTTTCTTGATCTTACCCCTGGTCCAGTAAGGTCCTCTGCGGGTCTGTTTCCCCTTCTTTTGGTGGTTTAGTGATGATCTTTCTTGGTTTCTTGCGAGAGCTTGTTGGAATTCAGTGGGGCATTTTCGTTTGTTACTTTCTTGCTCGTACGCGGGGTCGATGAGGTGCGATTTTTGTTTATTGCTTTCTTGGTGATCTTTCTCGGAATTGAACGGGACAGCGGGGGGCTTTGATTTGTTACTTTCGGGGTGTTTTTTTAAAGAATCATTGATTTGGGGTTCAAGAAGAATCATAGATTTGGGTCTCATGACAACGAGGGAGTGCTGAGACGTTTTGGGAATTTTCTTTTCTTTTGGTTTCTGTTTTATCCTTTTAGAAAGGTTTAAGTAAATTCCTTTTACATTCAACTCATTGGTGATCTACGTTGGAATCCAGTGGGTTCGTCGGACTTTGATCTGTTACTTTCTTGACTTTACCCCTCGTTCAGTAAGGTCCGTTCCGGGTCTGTTTCCCCTTCTTTTTGATGGTTTAGTGCTGATCTTTCTTGGTTTCTTGGTGCTTTCTTGGCGAGAGCTTGTTGGATTTTAGTGGTTCGTGGCACTTTGATTTGCCACTTTCTTGATCTTACCCCGAGTCGATGAGGTGCGATCCATCTCTGTTTTCACAGTGGAAACTTTGTTTGGTTACCTTCGGGATTTGTTTAAAGAATCATGGATTTGTTACTTTCTTGATTTGTTTATAGAATCGTAAATGTGGTCTTCACGACAATCAGGGAGTTCGGAGTGTACCACGTCAAGACAATTTAGGATTTTTTTTTTCTGTCGGTTTCTATAATTGTCTTTTAGAAAGGTTTAGATGAATCTTTGTACATTCAAACGTTGGCATTTTCCCTGACTTCAATTTATGCAATTAACTTTAGGCAAGTATCAAACTTCAATTTATGCAATCAAGTTGTGACAAATCATTTATGACTTATTTCCAGTCCAGCTTTGTTTCCCCTTATTTTGGTAATTTCTTGTTTTTTTATGGGTGAACTTTATTGGAATTGAATTGGTTGGTAGGGATTTACATATGTTACTTTCTTGATTTGTTTAAAGAATCATAAATCGGGCTTCATGAGCAATGGAGTTCAGTGTGAGACAATTTGGAAAAACTTTTACTTCTGTTGTCCATAGTTGTCATTTAAAAAGTTTTGTATTTATCCTTTTTTTCATTCAACATATTGGCACTTTTGGTTAAGTTCCCTGACTTAAGACAATTATCAAACTTGAACTGATCTTTCAGTTTATGCATACGGTTGACTCGTTTAGAACTTATTTTGGATCAGGATACTGGTTTTCCTTTGACAGAAAGAGATCGGCTTGGGCTTCGTGGTCTCCTTCCTCCTCGTGTTATATCGTTTAAGCAACAATATGAGCGTTTTAGTGAGTCGGACAATTTCTTAGTTATATTTGCTATATTCAATTATGTAAAATTTTCATTCTTTGATTGTCGAACATGTTTCTTCATGCAATTTTTTTGTTGTAATTTGCATATGAATTAATTTGGTGGCATGAAGAACAATCCAAACCAACTAAATTACTTTGAAGAAAAGATGAATGCTCAGAGCGTAGTTTTGCCACTACAGTATGGAATTTGATGATAATTTAATTCCATCTATTCTTGTAGATTTGTGAATAGGTACTCTTCATATATGTGTGTAGTTTTGTGTTCTGGCAGACTTTTTATGGTCAGAGAGTAACTCATGATCTATTGTGACTGAATTTTTTTGGAATATGCCAGCAGCATTTAGATCAGTTGTCACACCTCTCAAGATCAGTATTATGTTCTTCTTTCCATGTGTAAACTTTCAGTGTAGTTGTAAATTTTTTTTGCTTAGGTAGATTCATTTTCTTTATTTATTTGACTTACAGTAAGTTGATACTGCTATCAGTCATGTTTTTCTTACTATTAATTTAACTGCAATTTCAGTGTTCTTAAGCATAATGCAACTGACCCTCTTGATAAAAATCGAATTCAGATGAAAATTCAACTGAGTTAGTTTGACCTACTTGAATTTTTCATTAGATGTGACAGCTGTAACATAAGGTGTAGGAATGCTTTCTGTTTGTTTTACATTGAAGATGGTTATATCTGCTACATACAATGCTGCACCTGGGCTCTCTTAGTTGCATCATTCTTTCTAATTCAGCACCAGTAAACATAATTAGGGGAATTTCTCCAACTAATTATATTGCATGCTTATATTAGTGCACATACACTTGGTAAAACATCTTACTTATATCTTAAAAACTCACTTGCCCTCTGGATTTTATGGGTTTTTGAACCCTAAAGAAAGCAACAGAGCATTAGTTACTCATACCAAGATTTTGGATCTTCCCTTTATCGTGAGTGAAATTGGATGCTGGATTCATTGTTAAATCTTGTTTGTGGTTTATTTGTGAGAACGATTTTTCTACGATTGCCAAGATGGGTATTACTGTCATTTGTTTGGTTTTATCTAGATTTAATCATGACTATCATCTTGATGCTTGTCACTGAAAACACATATCATCATGAAGATCTTTGATGGAAATTCTAGACATTCTCAATTACTTGTTACCAAATGTTTTTGAGATGAGAAGTGATTTCTTTGTTAAGCATTCTTGTTTTGATGTCTTATTTAGACATGTACCTACAGATACTTCAATCCTGAGGTAAGAAAATGAAGGCATTCTGTCTCTGTGGTGCTAAGAAACTAAACGCCATATGAGAAAAAAGAAGAAGAAGAAAGAAAACCAACTATGACAGAAGGAAACCACCAATAACACTGAAAAATAGACAACTATTGGTCCTCTTGTAGTCTTGTGGCCTCGTTTTCTGGTTCCACTTTCCTCTCCTCCATCCAAACCAACTGGCTTCATGCATGAGGTGGTTTCCTTATTGAAACCCTAAAATTCAAAGGGTCTAAGCTATTAGCTTAAATGTTTAGATCATTCTCAGATTGGATTGGCATGGTTTATGATAAAAAATGTGTTTTTGAATGTTTAGAGGACCTGTTGGATAAGGCTGTTTGTTTGGTACCAAGATCAGTGGTTCGTGTTGCATCTTGTTAACCAAATGGATACAGAAGATCTACCCATATTGGGGAAGCTGATTGATATTACAACACCTCTCACCTATATAGTCTATGATGAGTCTATGTTTGTTTTAATTGTATCAAGGATAATCTACAATTTGTTGATCTTCATTAATTATGATACAGTGCTGACCGCTGAATATGTTAGATACAAATTTTAGCCTTAATAATGATTGCTCAACTTGTTGCACCTGGATTGTTTTTTCTGGTTTGGGTCACAAATGACATGCTTACATATAATAATCTTTGTAGTTAACGTTGATATTGAAAGGATTAATTGCTCAGTAATTTGATATCGAGAAGTATACTAGTTCTTATAATTCCTATTAGGCCATTTTATACAAAACTCATCAAACTTAACCAAACAACAAAATCTATAATTTTATTCTATGTCAAACCATGAAGCTTGGTGGTGTAGATCCAATCAAGTAGCTGAATATATCTTATTTTACAGATAACATCATTATTTTGGTGGTTTAGATCCTTACTGAAGTATCCATGGTTTCCAATCTGCTTTTATATATTTGTTATGCTTTTACTATATTTTCTGGATTTTTATCTCTCCTCTTCTTTTTATCAGTGAATTCATATCGATCTCTAGAGCATAATACCAGAGGTGCATCTGATGCTGTTGTGTCTTTAGCCAAGTGGAGGATTTTGAACAGGCTGCATGACAGAAATGAGACACTGTACTACAGGGTGAGCTTGTTCATGTTAGTCATAGTTCAACATAAAATCTGCATGATTTGATGCTTAAAGGGATGTTGATCCAGTAAACTGACGAAGTTTTTTATAATTTGGTCTCTTCAGGTTCTCATTGATAACATCAAGGAATTTGCTCCAATTGTTTACACTCCAACTGTAGGTTTGGTGTGTCAAAATTATGGTGGCTTATATAGACGTCCACGTGGCATGTATTTCAGCGCAAAGGACAAAGGAGAGATGATGTCCATGATATATAATTGGCCATCTCACCAGGTGCCTGTGTTTATTCATTTCCTAAAAATACTTATATTTTCCCACATTTCTTGGTCAAGAAAAACTTGTTGACGTAGGCTTTGTAGCATGAGATGGTTGACAGACTGGCATGTGCCTCCATAAATACTTTTTGTTGCTTAACAATTATTTGAACAACAAAGTTAAAGAAAATTTAAACGGGAAAATTTTAATTTATACTCAACAATTATGAGAAGAGAGGCATTAAATAATTAGTCTACTAGTTCTAGTGATTAGGTGATATTGATATACAGCACAAAGATTAATATTTTCAGAAGAACTTGTTATGCTATTTTTTTGTAGGATGTATATTTTTAAGAAACTTGCAAAACCAAGCCATAAATTTGTTAGTTTATAATCCTTCATGAGCTTGTTGAAACTAAGTCTGAAATTGCTCAAATTATTTGTAATGATATTTAGCATATTAGTCATTGTAATAATAGCTTAACATGTTATTAACTGCGAGAATAGAGTAAATTGACTAGACATTTTATTGGAAGAAGGGACAAAACTGTTTACCATGTGATAAACTATATCAAAGTAGCTGCTTGTGCTAAAATCTTAATATGAGACTATAAAAGGGGTGATGTCGCACAATATTTTGGCTTCATCTACCATGGTCCTGTGAAAATTGTGGAATTTAGACAAACACTGCTTAAGTAAAACACAAGAATTTCTACCCTCAATTTTTATACTTAGCATTATCTAAATCCCACCATCCATAATACCAACTGCATTTTAGTTCCAAAGGTCATTTGGTATGGAAATTTTGTAGTGATTTGAGCCTGCCCCTCATAATTGTCTCCTATATTGCATCCTCCAGACACTGCATCTCAAATTTTAGGAAACAAGTTCCAAGGAATTCTAAAATCCCACAATTTATAAATCTTGAACAACATATCCCATGCTTGAAATCCCCCAGTAAAATGCAATTTAATTATTACATGATACTTGGAACAATCCAATTTTGGAATTTGGATGGTTACTTTGAAAAGTTTCAAGAAATCCTAGGATTACAACCCCATACAAAATGAGACCTTCATGTTATACGTCTTTCTGAACAGTTTGTTTGACATAGCTTTTAATTGTGTTCAATTAATTATAACAATTAAAGGTCTATTTGGTGTTTCTTTCTCCATTTATTTTGAAGCTGCCTTTTGTATCTTTGGAGTGAGTTCCTTTTGTTGCTGTTGTCGTTGGTGGTGTAACCATGTTTCTGTAGCATGATTATGCAACCCTTTTTATATTGAATTGTAATGTTTCTGCAGCTTTTTCTGCTATGTTTGGCTATATATATGGTTGTAATATGCTGTAATTCCCACTAGCCACGATAAGAATTTTGTCATTTAAGTACAGATAAGAGGACAATTGGCCTATATAAGGCATGAAAATACTCTGAGGAAGAGCTAAAAGTAAAAGAGAAGACAAAAGAAAGTAATAAGAAACAAAGAGGGCAAAAATGTAGCAAAAATGAAAAGAAAAGTTTATGGACCTGCTCTCTGTGTGGCTGTACTTCTGTTAAATTTGTTCTCCCATCAAATACTGCCTACAGTCTGTAGCGTGATCATGCAACCCTTTTTATATTGAATTGTAATGTTTCTGCAGCTTTTTCTTCTACGGTTGGCTATATATGCTGTTGTATTGTGCTGTAATTCCTGCTAGCCACAATAAGAATTTTATCATTTAAGTACATATAAGTGGAGAATTGGCCAATATTTGGCAGGAAAATATTCTGAGGAAGAGCAAAAAGTAAAAGAGAAGATAAAATAAAATAATGAGAAACAAAGAAGGCAAAGAGGTAGGAACAAGGAAAAGAGAAGTTTATGGTCCTGCTCTCTGTCTGGCTGTACAGCTGTTAAGTTTGTTCTCTATCACATACTGCCTACAGTCTGTAGGCACCAAATATACAGTGTAGTCTTAAATTATAACTTAAGTTCATTGGAGATTAATGTGGTACTACCACATCCAATTTCAACATGGTGCTAACAAATCTAATCTGGATTTACTGATAGTACCTGCTTCTCTTGTGCAACGATCTCATTTTAGTATTAGGGCGGCTGTGGAGCATGTACAATCACATGCAGTGTTTTCTTTCATATAATTTTAATTATTCTAATATGGATTAATTATGGCAGAACTAGTTAAATTTCAAAACCTTTTCAACAACACTTGGTCAAGAGTGAGACAGATAACTTTCTCATCAGGGATGCTTATCCAATTTACATTGCAGCTGTTGGTGCAGCATGTTGGTTTGCAGCCCAAGCCTTCTCGAAGGCAGGTTGGGTTTGGCTTGGCCCATCTGAGTGCAATCCTGCTTATAAAAGCATGATGATAGTGCAGGAACGGATCTGTAATGAAGTTTAATTATCTTTTACAATTTTTTGTTTTAGGAACATAAAAAAATAAAGAAAGATGACTATGACAAATTAATGTTTCTAATGCTCAAAAGGGTTTACTGGGCAATACAGCTAATTACTGTTTTAGTTTTCTTGAGTGCCTACTTGTTCAATACCTTTGAAGTATCTTGATAGTTCAATGATTGAAACCCAGTTGGCATAGACAGCCATGTTGGATTGCACATTTAGAATCTTAAACTTTGAATTTCTTGTTTTTCTAATTTCAAAATTTCTTTTGTACTCTGTCTTTTTATCAAATCTTAATTAGTATCAAAATCGACGTCCATATTTGTTTAGGAAGCTTTTGACTGGCACCTGATTTTTGTAGTTGATGATGAAAAAATACTTTAATATCTTCTTATGCAAAAAGTATATATGTTTTTATATTCTTTTCGTTTTTTAATGTTTATAATTTTAGACTTTTTTAGCCAAGCTTGCAATAAAAACCAGACGTCTTATTTTTTTTTATCATGTGATTATCCTATTGGTCTTAGGTAGACATGATAGTGGTGACAGATGGGAGCCGTATTCTTGGTCTTGGTGATCTTGGAGTTCAAGGTATTGGAATCCCCATTGGAAAACTTGACATCTATGTTGCAGCTGCTGGAATCAATCCACAAAAGGTAAGTTTTTATTCAGCTCCTCACCATATGTGTATTGAGTTTCTGCTGCCTGGAGAAGTAGGTACCCCTGAAATTCTGTATGCACATTATGAGCATTATATGCTTGATATCTCCCTATACAGGGGCCAGCTACAGTTGATCAATTTCATCCCTTATATCTCCTTGGTTTTGTCATCATTGGTGTTTAGCAATAGTGCTAATTCTATAGTCAAACTCATGATTAATCATATTTATCATCGTGGCAGATACTTCCAGTTATGTTGGATATGGGGACCAATAATCAGAAGCTTCTTGAAGATAATCTTTGTGCGTACATATGCAAGGATCTGTTCCTTTTTTCTAAATTACGTGTGAAACTTTGAAATGTACAAATGCAGTTTTCTTCTTTATGGTTCGAGTCAACTTCATATCTAAATATCGTATGCATGTTTTTGGTCATAGTGCATAGTAATACTTGATAGTTTTGCATGGACATTAGTCTAATTATTCATGTAATTTTGTGTAGAATACTATACGTTAATAATGCATTTAGGAGCTTCAAAATTTTAACCATTTCTTAGGCTCAAAGTAGATATAAACCAACAATTCACCACAATGGATATTGAACACAAGAGAATATAATTTTTCTCATTCATTGATCTTTTCTGTATACAAAGGAAGACATATAGGCTGATTACAACCTGTACAACTAAGAAAATTGATTCTATAAAATATTTCATTCTAATTCATTTCTTATAATATAGGCTGATTTGATACTGATTGAGAATCCCTTAATTTTGATAATAATTAATTATGATGCTGATTTGATACTAATTCATTTCCTTAATTATGGGATTATAAAATCCCTCAATTATGGGATTCAGAATCCTTTAATCATGGGATTTTGATTTTCTACGCTCCCACTCAAGCTGCATCGAAGATGTCAATCATTCCCAGCTTGTTAGTTAGATCCTCAGAAGAAGATCTTTGAAGCCCTTTGGTAAGAATATCTGCTAGTTCCTTCTTTGTAGGAATGTAAGACATGCAGACAATTCCTTCTTCGATTTTCTCCTTTATGAAATGTTGATCTACTTCAACATACTTTGTTCTATCTTGGTGCACTGGATTATGAGCAATGTTGATAGTAGCCTTTTTGTCATAGTATATTCTCATAGGAGTTTTAGTGGGTATTCGTAATTTTTTTTGAAGCATTTTTAGCCATAAGAGTTCACTAATACCTTGTGCTACTGCTCTGAACTCTGCTTCAGCACTGCTTCTAGCAACAATTGTCTGCTTCTTGCTCCTCCAAGTCACCAAATAACCTCCAACAAATGTACAATATCCTGAAGTTGATCACCTATCACTTGTTGATCTTGCCCAATCAGCATCAGTGAAGGCCTCAGTTCTTATATGATTGTCCTTTTTGAATGATAATCCCTTGCCTGGAGTTCTTTTCAGATATATATAAGGATCATATATACTGCCTTTAAATGTTTTTCATGTGGTGAATGCATAAATCGACTTACTACACTCACTACAAATATCAAGTCTGGGCAAGTATGAGATAGGTAAATCATCTTACCTACCAATCTCTGATATTTGGTTGCATCAACCATGGCTCTTTGAGAAGGACATCCTAATTTATGATTGAGATCTATTGGAGTGTCCTATGGTTTACAACCAAGCATCTCTGTTTCTTTTAGAAGGTCTATGGTGTATTTCCTTTGTGAAACAAATATCTCATTCTTTGATCTTACTATTTCCATGCCTAAGAAATATCTTAGCTGTCTAAGGTCTTTAATCTCAAACTCTTTGTTAGGACGTGTTTCAATTTCTCCAATTCTGAGACATCATTGCCTGTTAGGATAATATCGTCCACATAAATTATAAGAATAGCAATATCTCTCTGATATGAGTGTTTACAGAATATTGTATGGTCTGAATGACTTTGAGTATAACTATGACAACAAATTGACCTTGTGAACCTCTCAAACCGTGCAAGTGGTGATTGCTTGAGACCATAAAGAGATCTTCTAAGCTTGCATACCTTATTCGAGCCCTACAAATTCTAAAAGTCGGGTGATAGATCCATGTATACTTCTTCCCCCAGTTCTCCTTTGAGAAAGGTCTTTTTCATATATAATTGATGTAAAAGCCATTCAAAATTAACTGTAAGATATAACAATACTCGAATAGTATTTAGTTTTGCAAATGGAGCAAATGTTTTTTGATAGTCAACACCATATGTTTGAGTAAATTGATTTGATGCTGATATGATACTAATTCATTTCCTTAATTATGGGATTATAAAATTCCTTGATTAAGAGATTTAGAATCCTTTAATCATGGGATTTTCTACAGATATACTATTCATTGGGTGTCTAACTTATGATGAAGTGAAAACTTAATTTGAAACTGATTTTGAAGATGATTTGACTAGAGTGAAGCACATAATAATGGATGATAGGTTGATTCAGCTATGTTCCAAGATGCACTAAGGATTTTAGTGCATGACACCTGTGGTTTGGTTGGCAACTCATATGGTACATGCTGCTAATATGGCACCTCTGAGGGTGATAAAAAAGTAAAGAAAAAACCACTGCAAAGAAAACTGGTGAAAAACAGACAATTACTTGCTGCATTGACCTCTGCATCGGCCTCTCTATGCTCTCCAAGCATGTTGACGAGGACAATGAATCAAAAACCAGTTAAACCAGTATATATCAACCAACATTTATCGGTTCGGCCAGCAAACAGGATGCAGACAATATCTGTTCAAAACAGAGGTTACTGGGTGGTAACCTTAAGGAACTGGGCATTAATGATTAAAACTAAAGATACCAGGTGGTAAGCCACCACCTAGTATCTTTGTTTTTTGTTTTGAACTTTCAGACGTCATTTTACAGTCATCCCTTGTTTCCTTTCCTCCCATGCTTATCTCTCTCTCCTCTCTCTCTTTCCCTTTCTTTCTGCTGATATCCCCTCCACTTCTTTCTCTTCCCCTCTTCTCTCCTTTCTGTTTAGTTTGTGATGATCAGTATGCTGGTGTACCATGTGCCATTACACCGGTACATACCAGATCCATGTGGGTCTAGTTAACAACTAGTATGGATCTTAGACCATGACTTAAACGTTGGCGAGGATCAAGATGTTGTGCCTATGGGTTTGAATGAATCCAAAAACTGTATTGGATTGCTCCTAATGGCAAGTCAAATGGCCAATTTGACCTTATTAAAAGGCTCAGCTGACCATGTACTGGGACCCACATTTTTGGAATGTCCATGGTAGCTTGTTGAGATTTCTTGGCAAAATATGCTGAAAACCATTGAGAAAAAAAAGTTAAGATTCCAAATAATATAAATTATATATGGTACTATGGTTGGTTGCTGTATAAAATTGAAATGAGATTGTTCACCTCTATTCTTTTTCACATGTATTCTTTTTCTTCTTTCGTGAGGATGCAACTTTTGTTTTCCTTAAAATGGGTGCTGCAAAAGACTTGACTATCATTGTTTCCATACATTTCCACATACATCTTATGGTTCAAATATGAAATTCCTTGACTTTATCCAGATCATTTGTTTGTTATATTTATGGAGGGGAAGATTCCTTCTAGAGAATTGCTATGGATGAATATGTAGGCACTACCTCAACAAATATTCAAACTTATATCCTCCTTAGGTTAAACCATCATTAGTTTTTCCAGGTTAAGTTGAATTAGCTTGATAATTAAATTCTCCAAGTAGCACTTATTATGCATGTATAATCTGCAACTTACACCAATTTATGATTTCAATTCAGTGAAAATTTCACAGATAGAAAATATGCTAAAATGCCAAAATGAATGCTAGATTGAATAGATATTGGAAAAGAGAATCATGACATGAGTAGCCAAAAGAACATTCTTGGAGTAAGAAATTATCTCCAAGTTATGAAAGGATAGCAAACAATTGTATGTCTCCAACTAGGCATTTTCTTTTCTTTACATCTGCAGATGCTTCTTTGTTTTCTCATCCAATTTCTGACATTAGAAATTGCTCTATCTTTGTAGTGTAGCATGTTAAAAAGTTTTATATATTTTCAAATGCAAATTCATGATATGAAATGAAAGTTACGTGCCTATTCTAGTGGAAAGGTAGCAAATATTGTTTTGTAGAGCCTTACTAAAGAGCATTATTTCCCTTTTTCATTTTAAATACCAACATGGAACTTGGAATTCTTTGAGCCAAAATTTCTGCTCTGGTTCTTTTATGCTATTAATTTTTATAAGGAAAATATTTACCAGCTTTCATGAATTCTTCTTATGATCTCCATCTATGCCACATTACATGCTTTGATTCAGATCCAGTTTCTGCAGACGCTTGATTGTTGCCTCACTTGATTGTTCGATCTGTTTTTATGTGCCAGAAGCAGACCAAAGAATACTTGTCATTTTCTTGCTAAAATGCTTTTGTTACATGGCAAGAATGCATGACATGGAACCTTAATTTGTCAGCTAATTTACCCATTTACTTGCAAGCTAGGCATTAATGCTCACCCTCATCTGGATTTTAGGAATGCTTTATTTGTAAATGATTTTTGTATCTCAAGTATATTCTCTCATCTTCCTAGAATATTTTTCAAATAAAATATACAACCATGCAATGTGGGAATCATGGAATCTTGTGTTGGCAAACTTGCACCATGAAAGTACCAGTTAATACACGTTTATCAGTCCTTATTTGTCGACATTGCAGTGACATTCTTTTTGTCTCTTTGGTTCACTAGTACAATACAAGTCTCACTCCACCACTTGGAAGTGTATTTGTTATTGATTTTCTTTCCTTGTTTTTCTTCTTATTGTTCCATTTCCATTTCATATCCTTGACATGTTTGTGTCAGCTGGACACATGATAATAGCACTTACCATTTCACACCATAAACCGACATGGCGATGTGCCATGGGAATAAATAATTGGTCACAACTATAATAGAACCTGATTGGTGCTTTGGTAATTATTTTTATTGGTTTGATCTTCTTGATTATGTTTGCTAGAGCACTATTTGATCTGGTACATGGAAGTAGAACAAGAACACGGAATGTTACAAATTTTGGAATGTGATACAGTAAGGTTAGGATTGTTTGGATTGTTTGATCAGAATAAAAAATGTTTATCTGGAATGTGGATCTCATTTTATATATATATATATATATATATATATA